AAACACTCTCTGGGTGTTTTCAGGAATAAACTTAAAACATGGCTATTTGGGCAAGCTTTCCCTCCTGCAGGATCTTAATTTCTTATACTTTCGCCACCTTGGATCTATAATATCTTTTTGGTTTTATTGTTTTTAAATTTGCAAACCGCCCAGAGTAGGTCTTTGGTCTAGGTGGGCAAGATAGAAATCCAATAAATAAGTAAGTAAATAATAAATAAGTAGGGTGGGAGGGCAACTGACGGAGCCCCCACCTCCCCCTGCCCTGCAGGGAATCTGTGCAGGGATTGGGGGTTCTTCCCTCCCCTCTCTTACTATGAAGCTGAACGGGTGGGCGTTGGCACCCAGTTTCCGCAGCAGCCGCTCCTGCAGGCGGGTGAGAGGTTCGGGGGCTTCCTCGGGGGGCGGGAAGGCCTGCCATGAAGCCAAGAAAAGGTCCTTGCGGAAGGAGAGGCCCAGAACATCTAAGTCCTCACGTCCGTAGCGGAAGGCGCAGGTCAGCGTCACAAACACTGGAAAATGAGGGATGCGTGTGTCACTTCCTAGTCCCACGTAAACATCCAGGAGCTCCCCAGGCCTGGCCCCAGCGACTAGACATTTGGGGGGGCACACAGAGAGAGGCCCTTCAGCGTCTCTCTGGGCCCCCAGGAAAGAACCCTCGATTTGTTCTCGGTCACAGACTCCTGGGGGTCGTTCTGGGGTCCCCTTAACATCCCCCCCAATCCTGATTGCGTACTGAGTTAGCGTGAGCTGGTTTGCTCAGATCTCAGCACAACCGTGGGGCACACTTCATAGCCAGCAGGCGATGGGGCTGGGGTGCGAGACCAGCTCCTTGCCTGCCCAGGAGACACTGGGTTGGGGGCGGTTCCACTCCCTTCATCATCATCCTTCACCTCCCTCTGCCTTTGCTTCTTAAATTAGCGACACTCGCTTTCCTTCCGGTGCTCGTGGACTTGCTGGGGTCAGCAGCAAGCGGCGGCTCTTGGCTGCCAGGAGGGCAAGAAGGCGCCGATTCCCCCAGCAGCGCCTGCCGCCTCCTGAACTGCTTCCTCAAAGCTCCTTCTCTTCCTGGAGCGCAAATTAGCCGGGATAGATTTGCATCCTGCTTTCTGACTGCCTAGCCTGGACTCCGGGAGCTGCTTTTGGGACAAGGGGAGACGTCTCCAGCAAACATGGAACAAACCCCCGCCAGGAATTCCCCCCCCCGAGCCTTCCCACCCACTGCAGAGAACAGCACCCCACGCCCCACTGGGGGCTCAGCCAGAATTCCCTCCTCAGCCTCCGTCGGCCCCCACTTACCCTTCCGATCCTTCAGGTATTCAGGGTCAACAAGGACCACTCCGTCTAAGGGGGGGGGGAGATGGGCAGAAAAAGAGAGAGAAGAGCAGTCAGGTGGGGAGTGCAGGACTTTGCTGCCCTTCCCCCGCACCCTTTTCTGAACAGCCCCCCCATCTGCTCCTGGTGGAGAGGAGAGGTGCACTCCACCCATCCCATGTGGCTTTGATGTCAGAAGCGCGCGCACACGCACGCACACGCACACACACACACACGGTTTGCCCAGCCACCCTGGCCCTTTGCTCGAAACACACTGGCTTGGCTTTAAGCCCCGGAAGAAGGGATCTGTGTAGTCAGAAAGCTTGCCTCTGGCACCAATAGGGGCTCCACACCTTTCTGACCACAAGAGCCACGCCCGGGGGGGGGGCCTCTGCAAAAGAAAGACATTTCTCCTGCTTGGAGCAAAGCATGACTTGATTGTGGTGGGGGACTGAGCACCCTCTCCCCCCCCCCACAAATGGGCAGCCACTTTGTTTGGTTTCTCTTCATTTTCAGAAACAAGCTTTCGACCCGCAAGCAAACTCCCACCCCTCATTTTCCTCCCTGAACGGCTTTGCTGAGACCCCCACCTCACCCCACCCTCAGCAGCCTCATCTTCTAAAGGGCTGGAAGCAGAGGGGCCAGGGACACCCCCTTCCTCTGGAAGTGGGGGAAGGAAGCAGCCATGACCGTGGTAGGGCTGAGGCTAATGCCCCCCCCCGAGCAGACTCACCTACGGGGTCAACTCTGTCCAGGTGGTCCACAAAGTCCCGCTTGCCGAGGTACACTGTGAGCTGGAGGTGGGAGGAGGAAAGGGAGAGCGGGGGAGAGGGAGATAAACAGACAAGCACCTGCCTACACTGGAAGGGGAATCAGGGGGGCCAGTCCCTGCTTCCCCCCCCCGAAGCATCCTGCCCCTCCCCAAAGAATATCCTCAAGAGCACACCCTGCAGAAGGGGGGAGGCCCAAGGCTCTCAAGGGGGTCGGAGGACTCCCCACCCACCCACTCTGGGGCCTCCGGTTGCCTCCCCCTGCCTACTCCCCCCCTCCACCTGGCTGTGCAGCCGCTTCCGATAGACCTGCACTCCCCGTGGGAGTTCACACTGGATCTGATCCAACGCCAGGGGCTCCATCCTGCACCCCCTTGGCCCTGCCCCGGCAGCCACTCCCTCGTGGTCCAGCTGTGCGTAGGAAGCGTCCCCCCCCCTCTGCTGCCCACTCCACACCAGCTCCACCTTCCTGCCCCTCCAGGTGGTTTGCCGAAGCTTCCCTCCTGCCTCACAGGAGCCTTCACTGTCACGCCCCACGGCCCCCCTGAGAAGGCGCGGATCCTACAGAAGGAAGAGCATCACTAAGGAGATGCAGGGAGTCAACAAGGTGATGCTGCTGCAGCACCCAGGAGGATTAACCCACTCTGTGCTGGGAGGAGGAGGAGGAGGAGGGGCTTGTGTGTGTGTGTGTGTGTGTGTGTGTGTGTGTGTATGTGTGTTGGGGGTAAACACCCCAGGTGTCTTCAAGAAGCCTGGGTATGTGTGTGTCTATGCCCTGTCCGTCCACCACCATCCTCTGCACGGCTCCTTCCCGGTCACTGCCTGTAAACCACATTTTTTTGGGGGGGGGTTGGAAACAGACCAGCTGCTGCAGGCTGGGGCTCCCCTCCCCCCAAAAGGAACAGCCCAGTCCAGCTGAGCCCACACAGAGTCCCGGGGGTGTGTGCGTGTGGAGCCCCTCCCCCCTCACAGTGGCTTTCCTCACGATGACAAGGAAGGCAAGGACCGGAGGCCTGAACCACCAGCCACCCTCCCTCGTTTAGCCACCTGCCAACCCACAAACGTGGCCTCCAGCCCAGGCGTTCCCTGGAAAAGAAGCAACGGGTTGCTTGGTTCCCTTTCCCTGAACCCGGGGCCGAGTGTGAGGAGGAGCAACGCTCTCCCGCCACATCTCCTGCAAGAGAGCAGACAGGCTCTAGATGGGCGGTATATAAGTTTAACAAATAAACAAAGTAAACAGAAATAAGCAAGGGGCAAGTCCTGTGCTTTCCGTGGGGCAGAAGGTGCTGAGCGTAGCAGACAGCTCTGAGCCGAGCAATCGTGGCCTGGCAGGAAGGAAGTCGGGCGTGGGAGGAAGAGCGACCGGAAACCCACAGCAAGAGAGGAGGAAAGAGGCCCCACCGGTGCCCCGCTAGGAAAGTGGCTCCACAGCCCTTGCGGGTGGGCAGGCCAGATCGGGGTCTGGTTAGAGGCCACGGCCACGTGGACAACGGAGGAAGGGGAGCAGCCGAGAACTTACTTTGCAGTTGGGGCTGGATTTCTTGAACACCCTGCAAGGGAATCACGGAAGAGGAGGAGGATAGTGGTTAGAGACAAGGGGAACTTTAAACCATCTGCTCCCCCTCCCCCTCCCCACTTCCTTGGATTTTCCCTCCCCCCCCTACACAAACACGCCAGGACCGCTTTGGGGCGCCCCCCCCATGCCAGCAGGATTTAGCACACGTTGCCATGGGAACAGCATCAGGACCAGGTGCCTCGGTGTCGCCACAGCCAAGGACCAGCTGTCATCTTGCTCAGAAAGGCTGGGGTGGAAGGCCTCTGATATCTGGGGGGGGGGCAGGAACATGGGTAGCCCCTCCTCGAGAACTAAGCAAACCCCTCTGTCGCTGATTGTCCACATCTTTGTGGGATTGTTTGAAGCAAAACCCTTTGCGAGGTGAAGGGGGACAACAGCCCCAGGAAGGGGTATGGCAGGAGCCCTCCCCCGAAAGGGGCAGGGGCCTTCCTGGCAGAGATCCGCCGGGAGAAGAGAGAGGGGGGCGCTGAGGGTTTACAGGAGAACAAGCCTGCCAGCTCTGGACTTCCCCTTCTACTCCCCACGATGTGCGTGTGCGCAGATGCTGGCGTGCGTGCCGCGCAATAGCCCATCCTGGGGCTGCCTTAGGGAAGGAAGGCGGCAGGTCTCCCCTCCCCTCCCCTCCCCTCCCCACCCGAGAGAACTTTGTTCCTCCACAGCAAGGGGGAAAAAAGAGGAAGCCCAGAGACTGGTGGCCTTCCCCTAAAATTGGAGGGGGACACCAGAGGATGACGGTCTGTTTACCCAAGGTGGGGCGAGACTGGCACAGGCTGGGCACCTCCGGGGCCTGGCATTACCCGCTGCTGCCGCCCCCCCCCTCTACGAAGCACCACGGAAGTTGTTTACTCCTTTCCCAATTGA